GCAAAGAAAGGAGGCCAAAGACTTCACAAAATTGAGCACTTGCTCTCACACCCACATTCATTATTTCTACATTGTAAATAAATCAAACTGAAAACTGGATAAATGTTTGACTTCCAAAAAGTAAGCCATCCACACACAGAAAAGAGCTTAAAAACATAAGCCTGAAAATGTAGTAGGTAGCCCAGACATAAATATGCAGATACAGGTGCTGCAGAGGATGCATAGAGAGTGAGTCAGCCCACACCTTTCAGAAGTTTAACATCTCCCAGGGAGGAGAAGACAGGTAGGCAAATAACAAGACCACAGGCAGAATTCAGGTCACACTTAAGGAATACCAATGTATATGCCCTCAAAGGTAGAAGTGATCGAAGCTCGGGGAGCATTCAAAAAAGCCTTTCTGAAGTGGTACAATGTGAATGAACCTTTAAAAGTTAAATAGAAAACAAAAGTTAAGTAGCATTTTGACAGACACATCTGAGGATAAGAAGACACACTTCACAGTGTCGGGGAGGAAGCTCCCCATGTACTTATCACATCATAACCCAAATTCTAGGATGCTACTAGAGTGGAAGCAGTGAAAGATAACACTGTTGTCAGGTTGTAGAGGTCCTCAAATGCCAAGTTTAAGGGCCTGTGTTTCATTTAATAAGCACTGAGAGGTGATTAGAGGATAGTTGAAAGAATCAGTTATACCTTTCAGAGATTAATCCAATAATAGTAATTGTCTTAGTGCATTTTGTGTTGCTATAGAAAATACCTGAGACTGTATATTTTTTTCTTTTGTAAATGATATTTTATTGGTTGTGTTGAGGTACACAAACATTTCACTTTATACATAATTCTTAAAATTCTTACTGAAAATCTTAAAAGTCATCTATTGTGTTCTTTTTTTTCATTTTTATTAAGATATATCATTGTACAGGGGGGATTCATTGTGGCAATTTTGAATAGGCTTACACTGCACATTTGTTAGATCACTCCCTCCATCTCCTTCCCTCTGCAACCCCTTCCCTGCCCCACTTAAAGCACTTGTAAGAGGTTTCATCGTTCTATTTCATATACGCATATGAAGCCCATCAACCATATTCCCTCACTTTTATCGCCTGCATTCACCCACCCCTTCTCATAACCACCACCTCACACTGCACCTGTTATACAGTCCTGTTTCTCATTATTAATCCCAAATCAATGTCCAAAAGGGTTTCTTGATGTGCCCCACTGTGATGTTGTTTCTTTATTGAAGTTATTTCAATGACTTTCCAACTTTGAATTGGAGGTGTTTTCCTTCAGAAGATGTTACATACCAGTATCTTCAAGGGCTGTTAAGCCATTAGGACATTATGTCACACCAGTTCACAATGTGGAGTACAGTATACATACTACAAACTCAAGTTTTCAATCCTCCCCAGAACATTGACAAAATTATTAGGAAAACTTGGCTACCATGGCCAAGTATGTTACAGAGTACACATGATTCTCGCTGCCACTTCTCCTACATGAGGAAACAATTCTACTAAAAACATAGGAATAGAATTAATTTTAAATATTCAACACAGGTAAAATGCACGACTGTGACTCCAAGTTGCCATTTAGTATACTTTGGATTGTATGATATAAAACTAACCCCTCACCTAGGGAATGGTAAGCTGATATGTAAAACAATCACAGTCTTCATAGTTTATTATCTCACTATTTGCTAGTTGTGCCAATAAATAGACAATCAGAGAAGGATTTCACCTCTAAAAAAATCATTTAGATTTTTTTAAAAGTTGCTGAAGTGGGATCCCTCCTTTTAAAAAATGCTTGTAGAACTACTAAAATATGAAATACATTTTTAAAAAACACATTTCCAAAATGGTTGATAAAAACATTCGTCTGGATTGTACAGAAGGATGACCACTAATCAGACATGATATATGACAATCAGACTTGGTCTCTTTCTCTTCTGTTCCATCAGAGGATGAACTCTCCTTATTTTCTGCAGGTAAGTCTTTAATGTTTTGGTTACCACTTAAGCTTATTTCCCTTTTGCTCCCCTTCTCCCTTTCCATGGCACTTCTTTTTCTGAAGATGTATGCTTTCCTACTGCCTTTTTTGGCTTTATTCTCACTTTTGTAGGAGAAGGTTTAGCTAACAGCATCACTGGTCTCTTCTTGGCTTCTTCCTTCATGGCCCGTTAGGCTGAGCTTACCTTTCTCTTCAGCATCTTGGCAGTAAACAGGCATACAAGAGCCTTCTCAAAGTTACACTGCCTGACTGCCACAGCTTCCCCCACCCAAGGCTGAATATTTGTAAAGAAAAAAACTTAATTTGGCTCACAAATCTGGTAAGTGGAAAGTTAAACAATGTGAGGACATCTGGCTGAGTCGCAATATGGTAGAGAAGCAGGAAGGGATATAATCACATGCAGACAGAACCAAGCATGAGAGGTTGTCTTACTTTATAACAACCTGCTCTTGTGAGAATTCATCCAATTCCATGAGAATCACATTTATCCTTTCCAAGGGTAGTGTTCCCGTGGCCTGATCACCTTCCACTAGGCCCCACCCCTTAAAGACCCAACACTTCTCCATATCATTACACTGAGACCAAGCTTCCAGTGCATGACCTGTAAGGGACAAATAGTATCCAAGTCACAGTAGTAATTCTGACCGGCAGGGGGGAGAAACAGTGTTACACAGCTAGTGGGCAAGAAGAAACCTACACAGTCCAGTTGAGAAAAGAAGGTTGTCTAATCTAAAAATGGAACCACAGGAATGGGAAATGGGCAGAAAATGGAGATATTGCAGAGGTAAAAATTGAAGGCAGGCTACTAATTAGTAACCAGGGCTCAGCAGAGAGAGAGTAGTGAAAATTAACTCAGAAGCCTGGTTTACACTTCATAAATGATAGAAAATAGATTTCAACTGAACAGTGAAGAAGGTGGGGAAAAACAGGGAAAGAAAGAGAAGGAAGAGAAAGAGGGAGGAGGAAATCTGTTCTGAACTTTCTAAGTTTGAAGTGTTTATGGTACTATCAGGTGATAATGTCCAGTAAGTGGAAGAAAATGCAGGTTTAGAGTTTAGAGGATGGTCAAGGCTTTGGTTATTATACCAAAGTCATAAAGTTTTAATTGAAGCTGTGTGAGTAGATGAAAACACTAAAAACAGAGGTAAGATATAATCTCAAAGAAGGAAAACTAGCTATGGAAAGTACCAAGAGACAGGAGAATAAGCAGATAATGAAGGAGACACAAAAGAAGTGGCTAGCCAGATGTAGTGGTTCATACCTGTAATCCCAGCACTCGAAAGGCCAAAATAGGAGGATCATGAATTCAAGGCCAACCTGGGCTACATGGGAGACTCTATCGAGAGGGGAGAGAGAAAGAGAGAAGGGAGGTGGAATCCAGTACAAAGTCACAGAATCCAAGTGAAGAATAACTTCCAGGAAAACAATTGGCAATTGAACAATTGTCCCAACTGGACAATTGCCTGGTCAGAAAGGGCAGTTACCAGCAACATTTACATTCCTTTTTTTTTTAATCTTCTGCAAAGATCAGCTAGAACTTTTGTTCAAAAAAATCAGTTTTTTTAGAAATTATTTGCTGTAAGAGAGGCAAATACCACAAAGATATGGAGGGTGAGAGTCAGGGATGATACATAATGAATGATTAGGAAATCACATGTATCCCTCTAGAAACACCTTTCAGCAGAAAAGGGTAATCAGGTGCCATGGAAAGAGTAAGTTAGAGAATGGAATTTTTTTTGGAAAAGACACTTTTGAGGAGCATTTTTTGAAGAAAGAGGGGGGCAATAAAGAGGGGAAATTTGAAGCTTCATGTAGAAAAGGAAATAAATCCTTGTATGAAATGAGGGGTAAAAGGGAGACAGAAGAAAATGAATTTAGGAGCACAAATGTTAGCCTTGAAAATTCAGAAGCAGGGCTCTATCTTCTAATACAGAGGGGCAGGGGGCAGTGGTGACAAATAGAGAATAAGGCTCTCTGAGAGATGCTAAAGAGACTAGAGGGAAGGTGAGAGATCTCAGTTTGAATGGTTCAGGGGATAACTGAGTTTAGGAATGGTTTGGAAAAAAAAAATCTGTGAAAATCAATCTTCACTTTCTTCACCAAACCAGGAGTTTTTTTATTCTTCAATCTTAAGTCTCAGACAGAGATAGATGAACTTGTCTACATCAATACTTTCAGGAGCTCCCAACACAAAAGAAGTTACATCTGACCCCTAAACCTTAACATTTGTAGAGCAAACTCACACACCGGGTTGTTGTAGAGAATATTACTCATATACAAATCCTAGACCCCTAGCTCTCAGAGGGGTCCCAGAAGTTCATCTGAAAACATATACAATACACACAAGACAACACAGACTGCCTCAAAAATGCACAAATTCACCATGCTCTGTAGAAAAAATTCAGACACCAGAAGGTCTACCATGGTGGGGAAGAGATGACCACAGTAGATGACTGGCACAATGAGAACTGAAGGGTGGTTCACAGGGCACAGCCAGAGGAAAAAGGAAGTTCCAAAAATCTTCTCCAGTCTTGGACTAGCGGAGTAGTTCAAGTGGTAGAGTGCCTGCTTAGCAAGTGTGAGACCCTGAGTTCAAATCCCAGTACCACACAAAAAAAAAATCTCCACTCTGATTCAACATATAAAATAGTACATTGCTGTTAGGATCTTTGCATCCAGTTCCCAGAAGGATAATTTTAAACCAAGAGGTTCATCTCAGCAAAAGCAAAAGTTTTGTGGTCCTTTGAGCACATCAAGTCCCATATCAAGTCCCATAGGCTCATGGTCCATTTCAGTGACACCAGCACATATTTCAGATCCTTGGATTTCACCTTGAATCCTTTTGCATTGAGATTATTCTAATCACTAAATGCAGCAAGGAGGAAGCAATCATAAACTGTGGCAAAGAAAGAAGCTATGTCCCATTGCACCCATGCCTTCTGTCCTGTTCATTTGGAGGTTTTCATCAATTGCAATTTAGGGTTCCCACTCACCTTGAGGAACAGCCCCTCTCCAGCATCTCTCTCAGCATGGGGTTGCTGAAAAGCAGAATGACGGAGTGCACTGCTATGCACAGATGAATTACCACCTGCCACATCCAGAATCCAAGTTCTTGAACTGGAAATGTGCCAACAGAACTTAGCACCAGTGACAGAAAAGAGGAGGTGAACAGGATGAAGAAAGAGAAGAGAACAAGGAGAGCTCTTCCATGGGACAGGAGTGGGGATCCTTGAAATCCTGAGATGGTCAGCAGGGTTTTCTTCATGTGTCTTCCCAGAGATGTGAGGAGCAAAACCATGAAAATGAGAAAGACAGCAAAAGGCATTGTCCACATAATCATTTTTGGAAGGAAGAAGTTGAATTTTTCAAATGAGAGTCCTAGGCTATTGCCAGTAACATTCCAAGATTGCCAGTTGCTTCTTAAATAGTCCTGATATATTATCAGGTTACCTATGAAGGATAGTATGCTATTCAAGCTAGATAATCCCACAGAGCTAAACAGCATCCGTGGTACCCACCTAGGCACATTATACTTTAACCGGATGAAGAAAGGGTGGGTTAAGTTTGCAATTTTCACACATAGAAGAAACCAAGCCAGGTACAGAACCATAAGGTGATAGCATTCAGGAACTCCCAGAGGAAACTTAGGAGCTGCATTGCAGGATTGTATGGGAAGACTGTTGGGTGCAGGAAAATATAAACAGTCTTACCTATCACCACCCACTGCAGACAGAAGCGAGAGGCTGTTAGGCTGATCAATAATTTATTATAAGGTGACAACATTCTCTGTAGCAACCATTTCTTGCCCAGTGCTGCAGTGATAAAGCCATTGACCACTGCTGCTATCAGGCACAAAAGGAGCAAAATGATAACTAAAATGATGACTCTCTTATCAGTCAGACATTCTGGAACCCTATGATATCCACTCATTTCTCCTGTGGAAAAAAGTGGCCCCAAGGTGTCAAGGGCCATGTCTGTTGGATTGCTGTAAAGTCTTGTATAATATGCCTATCTCTCTAGCTGCCTCAAGTTGCAGTGGTTAAAGCCAGAGCAGAGGATGAAGCTAGCTGAGGAAGAAGAAAACGATTCCTCTCTTCAGAATATATGCAAATACTGTTAAGGCTAAGTTTCCAAAGTCCCCTGCCTGCCTGTGAATTTGCCTGCTCTCCTGCCTTTTCCCTGCCCATTGTCAACATTGGTGTGGATAATATATCGGGCTCTTGCATTTGTTGTCCTTTACATAGGCAGTCACATTACTCTAAGCTGATACCTAAGACATGGCCACACACCTGGGGAAGCTCCATGATGAAATCCATAGGACATGCTTCCTACTGAGAGTCAGAGTTCAAGTCCATGGTGGGAGAGAAGGCTGATTGTGATGTTCCAGGCATTGTTCTAAGTGCTTTCTGCAGTATTCAGTTCTCAAAACAGCTCTACGAAGTAGATGCTATGATAATACCTCTTTGACAACAGAGGTTAACATAAATTCTACTACTCCAGCATCCAGCATCATAAAGTAGAACACAGCAGACAATTATATATGATGGAGGCAAATTATTTTCAAAATTTCAAAAATATTTTATAAGTAGTGGCCTTTTATGGCATCTCACAGAAGACCCCCCCACACCCAGATAGCTATAACAGAAGTAGGATTTGGCAGAAAAAGCCCTGACCTAGGAGCCAAGATAGGCTTCAGTCCAAACCCCACTCTCACTGTGAGTTCTTGGATATGCCAGTTAAGCCCTCTGTGCCTCACTGTGTCCATACATAAAATGTGAAAATCATCTGCTCTGATTCACAGAATCTCAGTTTTTACACTGCACAAAGACATCAAAGATAATTTTACAGGTGAGAGAAATAAGGCCTAATTGTAGATTAAGATTCCCATAAAAGTCACAGAGAAGACCAAGAACCACACTAATTCCAGGACCAGGGATCTTTGTCATAGTCAACAGCATAATTTATAACCCCATCTTCATCTTTAGCTGAAGTCAGAAGACTGGGTTTTAGTCTCATACTTATGGATTCACAGTATAGACATCTTATCCCTCTAAACACCTCTTTCTTCACCTATTAAAAATGAGGCTAATAAATGTGATCTTAAATGTATGAAACTGTTTTGAAAATGCATCAGGGATACAGTGGAGGTCCAGAGCATCAGATGTTAGACCATCTACATTAAGCAGAGGAGGGTGGAATAATCAAACACTATATTCTCTATACAATTGAGCTTCAGAGAGTCAAAGAAAAAATTTAACAATCAACACCCATATGAGCATAGGCAGGTTAATGTGTCACAGGAAAATAAGCAAACAGAAATTGTTCTAGGTCAGTTATAAAAATACTGAAGGCTCAGAATCAAATAACATAAGAATGAGGAAGTTTTCAACGGTCACTCATGCCCGGCCAACATCATGGTTCACCAGTTCCATGAATAGAACCCCCACAAGGACAGACGAAAATGCAGAATATTCAGTATCTTTTTCCAGTTCCTAGTGTACCTCTAGGTAGAATTGTTATTCCAACACAGGGGCCAACTATAGTAAACACTCAGTTACTGAGTAAAAGAAAGAAGATGAACAAAGGTAATACCTGACTCTGACTTCTTGTGAAAATGCAAATATCCAGGGAATCGAGTTCCTAACTACCTTCTTCCTTGCCCTGGTTCCTCTGGATGACTTCTGGCTGTTTTCTACTGGAACTTGGAGAAATGAGGTAAACTGGGTGGGGGGTAGGGGGGTTGCTTATAACTCTGGTGTTTGGCCAGCCACAAACCACACCATATGAAAAACTCATATACTTTCCATCTATCTTCTATACCTTCAATGGCTCATAAAGTGAGAAAAATATGCAATTAACCCTCAATTCATTTAACAACCATTTTTAAGTATGTCCTATGCCATAATAACTCTATGAAAGCACTGGGGCTGCAACAATGAATTAGATATCCAACCTCAAAATGCTTTCAAGTACTAATCATAAGCCACAAACATATACCAGGCTCATATACGTGCAGATTACGTTGATCCAAAAGGCTGAGTAGTCATTTGTACTTAAATATATAATATGTTACATGGTGATTTTGTTGTTGTTTGTGGTTTTTGTTTGTGGCACTTTGCTTTCTCATATTTAGATTTATTTTCCTAAGTAGAAGCTAAGTTTAGGAATTTTTAAATATTTTTAGCCTTTATAAATCATGAAGATGGTTGGATAGGAACCCAAAATAGGTTTTCTAGATGGAAAATTATCAACTCCATATTGTCTATCAGAAAGATTTAAAAAACAAAGAGAGTTACCTGTATGCTGTGGTTCTGTACATTATGTATCATCTTATTCCCACCCCAATAGTGCAATAACAGCAGGACCCCCATCATTGTGGGACAAATAAGATGCTATCTAACATGGTGGAGGACTTCAAAACATTACTAAAGGGTGGAAATGTGATTATGTCAAGAATGATTAGATAAGTTTGGGTACCACAAAGGATTCACGTGAGGGAATGGTGGCTTATTGGGCTGAAAAGGTAAGCTGAAGGGAAACCACAGAAAGCCTAGGTGGTCAGGATGAGATATTAGATTTAATGTCTAGCCAAGACATGTTTTTGGCACTTATGAGTTAGAGCTTAGAAAAACAGGTTGAAAACAACCATCAACTAAGAATTCCTAAGATAAGCTAACTAGACCCAGCATAACTCAAAAGACTGTGAAAACATGGCAGAATGTGAGAGTTGCATCACCACATCTACCACACCCAAAAACCTTCAGTAAAGTGCTGGAGTTCTGGCCAAAGGAAAGAGTCTTCCATATGCTCACAGTTGAGTAGAAGGAATGGAGCAGAGACTCCTGATGTTCCTGCCTTTGCTGCCTCCACCCGACACTCTTCTGGCTTGAGCCTCAAGAGTAAGTCACCGTTGTTTATTATCATTCTCCCTATTAGAAAGTCATTGTGTCACTGATGTTGCTGCAGTGAAGAAGAAAAACCCTTTGTGACTGATGATTAGAATAATATGTGTTCATAGTTAGGCTGTAAGAGTCTATGAAATTAATTTCAAATCTAGCCTTAGTACCAGTTTCCCACAGATCCCTCTGTCCTGCCTCCCCTTCACTATACTCTTCCAGCATGTGAGAATCTACTTTTTAAAAAATATTGATTTTATTTTTGAAGTAGCATACATTAATATGAGGGTATTTCATTGTGATAATTCTTAATTATCTTTTTCCAAGAGAAAACTCTTTACCCTATCACGTCTCTTCTCTCTCTCTCTCCCTCTCTCTCTCTCTCTTTCTCTGTTCCTATAGCTCAAACTACAGCTAACATTGAGCCATAATGTTTTGGGACCTCAGCTTCCAGGATTATTGAACAATTTACCAATTATTTATTTATGACTTCTGTTCTGTCCTGTTATTTTGACAACTTCAAACATACACATCTCTCTTAACAAATCTGCTTTTTTCCCGATGTTTTGTAGTCTGTTGGTCACCATACTTTCTTATAATAAACTTCAGCAAACATGCATCCTGCCATAAAATCCTAATGATATTTGGAGATAAGGCTTTGACAAGGTAATTATGTCAAAAAGGTGAAGCCCTGATGAATGCAGTTAACTCACTTAAAGAAGAAATGCAAAATGTCTTTCTCTGCCATGTGAGAATATGGCAAGAAAATGTCTATATGCAACCTGGAAGAGAGCCCAATCCTGTTGGCACCCTGAGTTTCAAGTTCTAGTACTGTGGAAACTAAATAAATAAGTCACTCATCTTGGTATTCTGTTACAGAAGCTTGAGCTGACTGGGACACTACTATATGCACATTTATTATTAGTTATATACATGAATTACTTTACTAATATATTATGTATATCATAAAAATATAAACCCAAAATAGGAATTTGAAGAAGATAAAAACAAATGAAAATTGAAGTTATACACTTTACTTCTCATTCCTTGTACCTTCTTTCACATACATTATTAAGGAGCTACCTCCTGGGTAAGCAGCGACAAAGGGTAGGATTATCAAAATTAAAAATTATTGCATAACCAGGCATGGTGGCACCTAACTTTAATCCCAGCACTCAGGAAACTCAAGAGGATTGCAAGTTTAAAGTTAGCTTGAGCTATATAGTGAGATCTTGTCTCAAAAAACCAAGGCTGAGGATGTAGCCCAGTGGTAAAGTGCTTTCCCACATGCAAAATGCCCGGGGTTTGATCCCCAGCACGGCAAAAAAAAGGAAAGAAAATGCTGAGAATTTTCTTTGTTGTCCATCTGTCTTTGGTTAGCCAAAACCCAAAACACTTCTACATCAGATAATTTCTTTTAATTCAACATGTAGTAAACCCATGAAGTCATGCATAGGATCTGTAGTAGTACTCATGTGTTCTCAGTCTTCCATGGTATCAATCTGAAAAAGCCTCATGGATGGAATCATTCCTAAGCATAGCACAAAAGATAGGAAGGGCAAAGAGTGATAGAGGAAGGGAGGAAAGGGAGGAAGGAAATAAGGAAGGTAGGAAGGAAGGAAGAAAGGAAGAAAAAGGTGGAAGGCAAGGATGTCTGGGAAGATGGAAAGAGGATGTACTGTAGGGAGTCTGAGCTGCAAGCACAGCAGTGGCTGGGGAATCTATGCCAATAAGAACAACTTTAATCTGCCCACAGAGACAACTGATGATAGTTACAGGTCTTCATAAAGGCGTACAGACAAAAATGGTGCTTGATGAGTATTGTTACAGTTGCTTACATGGAGAGACCTATGAGGAAATTAGGCCATTAACTAAGGCTAAGGTTATTTGGAACTCAAGAAAGAGGAAAATGAAAAGAGAAAATACTCAAACATTATAAATTCTTGCTACATATGGGATAATTCATCACAGTATTGGTTTTTGAACTGATAACTTGAGAGTGGAACCACCCTTGGTACAGGGCCTTCAAAACCTTACGAGCTGGCAGCATATAGATCTTAAAACTTCCTCCTGAGAGCCTTTCTCAGCTTGGGACTGCTGAGCACTAGAATGACAGAGTGCAGGGAGATGCAGGCATAGGTTATCAATTCTTTGGCCCAGTACCAGAGACTCTGGATGGGTGTGATGCTCACGATAGAAATGACCATAGACAGGAAATACATTGTGTAGAAGATAAGGAAGAAGGCAAGTGACTTCAGGGCCATGGTGTGCGCCTGGGTGCTGGAATCATAAGGCCCGCGTCTACAGTCTCTCATGTGTCCCACATGCCGGGACAGTGAGAAAATGAGCAAGACAATGGACACCAGGAACATGAAGAAAGGAGTGAGCCACATAAGCACTCCATGGGACAGATAATAATGCCGATAGAAGATCAATGTCTTATGACCAAAGGTACAATTTCCATGGGAAAAATGAGCAGCAATTGTATTCCCACTGGCTGATATAATGGCTGACAGGCCACTGATGATCAAGGAGCCCAGCAGCAGCCTGGGTATTAATCGAGAAATCCTCCACTTCAGCCAAAAGAAAACATGGTAGGAGAAGGAGGAGATCTTCACACAGTAGAACATGGCAAGCCAGGTAGTAAGCCACAAAATGAGAGTGTTGATGAAGTCCCAGAAAATGCCAAAAAAGTTCACTTGGTAACAAAAGCCAAAGAATTCCAAGAAGTTGTTCAGAGTGGCTGACCCATGCAGACAGAACCGGGACAAAGCAAGACAGGCTATAATCATGTCAGTTGCCTGTGGTGCCTGGCTCCGCATCCACTCCCTGCCCAGCACAATGGCCATGAAACCATTTTGTAACATAGCAACCAACGACTGCAGGCAAAAGATGACCATGAAGATCAATGTGGGAATGGGGGGCATCTTCTCCAGGGAAAGTCTGTTCAGACTGGCTCCTACCACAGAATGCTGGGATACATCTGCAGCCAAATCACCCTGTGGAGACCAGAGATTCAGAAACCCCTCTCCCTGGATGCAGGCAAAAGTCCAGCCACCAATCAAGCCCCAGTCCTCCAGGATTTGAAATGAGGATAACTGAGAGGTCCCTTGGCATGCAAATCTCTCCCAGCTCAATGACACCTGTCTCTATTTGCATAACCTGCATTTGCCTATTCTTTAGCACAACCAGGTGCAGGATACTGGCTCTAAGGGTGACTGAAAATACCCTTATTTTGGCCATTGTTTCTTAATTGTACTATTTCCTTCTTAACTTTTCTTCAGAAGATGCTCTTACCCTTATTCCCTCCCTGAAGCACACACCTTTCCCTTACCTTTCATGTCCTAGATAAACTTTATATTTGGTAGCCTCTAGATGCTGCATTTAGGCTCACCTCCTGGGTGAGTGGAATAGAAAGTCAGTCATAGGTGCAAGTCTTGGAATTACCAAGAACAATCACTTCAGTCACTGACTGACTTCTGATGCTGCCTAAAAGTTCACTGACAGGCTCCATATTGGAGTCTCCAGCTGCAGTGTGAATTTCCCCAAAGCATTAACATGAAATCTGTTAGCCATTAATGCCTTAACTCCAGTACATTGGAGAAACCTAAATTCATCATTTCCTAAGAAAGCTTTGGGGAAATGAGAGAGAACTGATAAGTCATAATGAGAAAGAAGGAAAAGTGGCCCAGAAAGTACATCACAATAGGAACCAAAAAGCAAGAGTTGGAAGGTGGTGGTATGTCAAGAGGAGTTCAGGCAAGGCCTGGTGTCTCAGGCCTCAATGACACCCATGTGTAACCCAAGCACCCAGGAGGCTGAGGCAGGAGGATTGAGAGTTTGAGGATAGCCTGGAATACACAGTTAGACTTATTTTCAAAAATAAGTTTTTAAAAGAGAGAAAGAAAGAAAGAGGGAAGCTCAGCTGGCCCACAGGAGGGACTGCCTGGCATAGGGTGAGCCCTCTCACACAACAACACTGAAGATAATAACAATAAACCTGCCAGGAGACCTTGCCATTCATAAAGTGACTTATGTCACACAGGTTATATTTTGCCTTTACCACCAACAACACAAAGTAACATTGATTTGCATCATCCAACCAGGTCTAGGAGGACATGAAGAAGGGTCCAATTAAAGTTGAATGTAAAAGGAAAAAGAACCTATACACACAAAATACTGGAAAAATGAAAGGGAAAGAGCGAACCGGGAGAAGGAAGTAACATAAAGCAGAAATATGGGTGGACAAGCACGGAACAGAATCCCCTGCCAGAGAGACCCCGGAGTCAGGGTCCTCCCCCAGGATGACTCACAGAAAATGGCCTTGCTACTGACTTTAAATGGTCTCACTCTGGATTGCACATATGAGCAGTCTATATATGAAAGACAAAAGAGAAATGAAAACAAGGGCAAGCACTTGTAGCAGGGGTCACAGGGAAAAGAAATGCAGCTAACTCACAAATACAGCATTTGATTGAAGAGGTTTGTTTTTTAGTAAATGTTCAAAAGATTATCAAAACAGCAGATAATTCAAGTGGATCAACTGCTTGCAGCCAGCTCCAGTGTCTTGACTCAGTTCTTTGCAAGGTTCTCTCTAGCTTCTCTTGAAGACAGCAGCAATGTTTCACAATATTTGGCTGTTCTTGAAATCCATGGGCAAGAGGCCAAGTTCATGATGTCATCAGCAAACAAGTTGGGGCCATGCTACTAATGCCCTATTGTGGCCACATGTGACCAAGTATAAAATGTGTGCTCACAGGCACCTTCATGTTACTTGCACAGTCACCACAGTATACACCTGTCCAGAATCAGACTTTTCCTTTCCTCCAGTTGACAGCTCCTCATCATGAATGTTTTCTGATGTCTCCATGCCCTGATTAAAGAAAGTTGAATTCCCCCAGGCACCTGTTCCTCCTCAGGGCTCCACTCAACATGTCTCTTGGAGATCCCCTGGCCAATTTACAGTCAGTCTCCCAAGGAGACCAGGGGCAGGACAATGGCTTTTGTGGTTTTTTCAAGAGTCCTTCAAACAAGAAACAGCAATCAAAATACTAGCTGTTTCGCATAAAAGTTTGACTCACATTTATCTTTCCTAAAGTTGTCTTGTGAAGCTGGTAGGTTCTTTTCTGTGGCACAGTTGGCAGTATTTTTTTAGGATGATACCTGAGTCCTCTGTGAGTTGATGCTAACGTCAAACAGGTAGCAACAGAAGGCTGGATTCCAGGTGGAAGATTCTGCAAAGAGAAACTTGCACTTTCTTCATTTTGATTCTCTACACTAGTAAAGGTTTTTGTTTGTTTCTATTCATTACTTTTGTTTTGTTTTGCTTTCTTATTACTATTAAGAATGCATTAGATCATCCCAACACATGTGAAAACACATTTCAATTTAAAGGGTCTGTAAATCTTGTTGCTCATTCAGCACTGGACCTCTGAGGCACATGCAGTGATACATACTTCCATATTCTTACAAGGTTTCATCAGGTAACTGATGGCCTGTGCCAGGGAAAAGTAGAAGGAAGGAAATAGCAATGTTTTTAATGGCTACATTGCATATAAATATTAAGCAAAGTCATGCATAAATTTAATAATTATTTCCCTACAGAGTAAACTCTAAATATTTTTTTTCTGGTCCTGCAGACTTCCGCTCATGCTTATATTTAGGTAAATGTTTAGAACAAAACATTGGCTCTAATAGCAATTCAGTATAAAGTAAATTTTAGCATTCTGAAAGTAAATTTGAGAATTTCCATCATCCTCAATTACCAAGCTATATAGCTGGGTGTGGTGTTACAGGCCTGTACTGTCAGCACTCGGGAGGCTTAAGGCAGGGGATCTCAAACTCAACACCAGCCTGGGCTGCAGTATTAGCAAGAACCTGTCTCAAAAAATAAAAAGATTAAAAATCTAAAATGATCAAAAATGAAAGAAGAAAGCAAAATGTGTAAGGACAGTTAGTATCATTTAATAGTAATACATTTTTCACATTTCCTTTCAAATTAAAAAATGAGACTTTGAAGTTATTTTTATAATTATAAAATTAGCCTGCAAGGAGTTTCAGAGTTCACTTTTGTTCTAATCTTCACAATAATTATTTCTCTCTTTCTTGTACCACTTGAGCAATTAGGAACAATAACATTGACCTCTAAAAGAATCAATCAATACCTTCTTCCACAATGTCACAAACTTCATTCAATATCCAAAAACAGGGAAATCAGGTCTTCTAGAGGGATAAACCATGTCCAACAACTTCTAAATTAGTAGTTCACAAATCATGGTTCCCAGGGGAAGGGAAATCAAGGGTAAAAAGAAAACAGAAAGCAAAAACTAGCCTTCTTCAAACACAGCTGTTCTGTTTATAGCTATTTTATATACTGAGTTCCCACTGAATATTTCAAAGTCAAGATCCATTCTTTTACAAAGTCCTTGATCAAAAGCCAACCAGAGAGAGGCACAGGACAGATGGAATCTATGTATTTTCTTTCATTCTCTTCTTAAAACATCTAAATTAACTCTAAAGGGATTTTTAAAAATTTTAGGGCATTGGCTGGTGAACTGGCTCAAGAGGAAGAGCAACTGCCTAGCAGAAAAAAAAAAATAGGTTCTCAATCCATAAAAACAGAAAATGTGAAAAACAAAATCATTTGGGAAGCTGAAAAGTAGATAGAAGAGTGGCCAAAGACATAGCAGATCTGTGAGAATTGCATCCAACAGGAGTGGAAGGAAAAGAATGAATCTAACTTTTAGGATTTGTAGCACTAGCTGCCTCTGGTAGAAAATGGTTAAGTCAGTTTAAGATAAATATTCCAAATTCTGGAGTGTAGGTCAGTAGTAGAGGGCTTACCTTGCATCCATGAGGCCCTGGGTGTGATCACCAACACACACACACACACACACACACACACGCAAATCAGATTCTTAGATCAACTCCCACCTGGTCCATAACCCTGGGGAAAGAGGGTAAAACAGGATCTCTAAGCTACATGTATACCAAGCACAGTTTAAGCAAAGGTACAATACCAAAAACAGGGAGATTAGGTGAACAAATGTGGTTTCCTCACTGAAGGAAAATTAAATCTGACCTAGAATTCTCTATCTCTATACTCAAATGCAATTATAAATTACAATGGTTCAATTTACGGTTTTTTGACATTATGTTTGTGTGAAAGTGACACAAATTTTGTAGAAACCATGTTTTGAATTTGGATTTTTTACATTTTCCCAGGTTGTGATGCCCAGCAGTTGCCTGTCAGCCACACAATCACAGGACACAAACAACCAGTACTCTATAGTGTGCTGGACTAATAAGATATGGTGTTCAGTAGGTTATGTTATTAAATGCATCTTTGACTGACAATGTTTTCAATTTACAATGAATTTATTGGGATGCGATGCCATCATAAGTCAAGGAGCTGCTGCAACAAGGAGCAGTTGCAGACAAGCAACTTCTTTTTTGAAGTTTATTTTCTATGTCCTCTATTCCTGGAACCAATTGGAGAATACCCTCTTCCAATGCTAAAGAGTATGCCAAGATAAGGGAACACACAGTACAGGCTATACAAGATCTGAGGTGAGGGAGTGGCAAAGGGCATCTCCAGGATTATCATAAAGGTAGAGTTCAGCCCTGAAGGAGGTGTGCTGAGAATGGGGACAAGTCCAAGCTAGAGTAGAACATGAGGTTCCTAGAGGAACACTCTCAAATAAAATTTAAAATACCTGATGAGTCCAAAATTGTTGAGAAAGATTTAGACCAATGATAAAGGACTTGAGAGTGAAAAGCACACAAAACAAGACAATAGTTAAATCAAAAGAAAATAAAAACATACAGAAAAGAAAAAAGTAATTTTCATTTAATACACAGTTTCACCATGAATAGAACTTATGTTGACATACTATTTTAAACACTGAATATGGATTTAATCAATATT